TCCGAGGGAAGACACTAGCGTAGAACCGAAAAATTTTCTTGCTGTCATAAATTCACCGTGCTTCATGAAGAATAAGCCTTTAACATGTGGGTGGGGGTTTTCTCTTTAATTACAAGTCCCCCCCGGGGGTTGACGTAGAGAACTCTGCGAAGCTACTGGCTAGGATCTGTACCTAGGCAGTCTCGGCCACGGGGGTATAAAATTTATGAACTTGGTGGTTCTGAAGGCTCTGAGAAAGGTCACTTATTGGCCGGCCTCGGAGTCTGGCACGTCCTAGCGCGGGGTGGTACTAGTAGCCAGGGGGTCTCCCCCGGGTTCGCTGGGTAATGTCCCGCTGCGACGGGTTCGCCCAAGCGACTGGTAGGAGCATTAGACGACCGGTGCTGCCTGGTGTTTTATCCAGGTGGTGCGCTGCTCCCTTGGAGGGTAATAGTGGAGGTTGAACCTCCACGATGTGCCCAAAGGGGGAGTAGACCTGTAGTGGGATTAATATCCCGGAGCAGGGAAGCCCAAACTTACTTACTTTAATTAGAAGTCTCTACCTCCATCCAAGGGTTTGTTTTCCAAGGAAAGAGAGATATGCATTCAAAAGTGAGAACCGATTTTTAATATAATTTTATTATTAAAAAAATTAAAAAATCTGAAACCTCCATCCAAGGGTTTGTTTTCCAAGGAAAGAGAGATATGCATTCAAAAGTGAGAACCGATTTTAATATAATTTTATTATTAAAAAAAATTTAAAAATCTGAAACCTCTATCCAAGGGTTTGTTTTCCAAGGAAAGAGAGATATGCATTCAAAAGTGAGAACCGATTTTTAATATAATTTTATTATTAAAAAAATTAAGAAATCTGAAAGTATTACCCCCAAAGAGGCATTTTTTTAACGTTCTGTGTGTTACCTTTTATTTATTAAATCAAGCTTCGCTCTTAAACCATAAAATTCAGTTCAACAGCAATATCACGAAATAATTTTAAAATCAGCCTATCTTTAGAATTTCCGATACACAGTCTCGCACGCTGGAGATAAATATGTTTTTTTTTTTTTTTTTTTTCTTTTTTTTTTTTTCCCCCGGTACACAGTTGCCATTGCGCGCTTTGAAATCCTTGAGTTTGTTAATCAAAAATTTGTTAAAGTTTCAGAAAATATGAAATAGATAATAAAACAAATTCCAAATTTGGGCTTCCAGATGCCCATATTCGGGTGGAAGTGTACGTTGTTCAAAATTCGATAGCTCTAGGTATCGTCGTTTTATCACAATGCGAGAAACATACATACGTTTATGCAAAATTCTTCATTATTTAATTTCTTTAAATATAATCCAGGACTGTAATATTTGGTGGCAACAGTTTGAAAAGTGAACCAACATTTAAAGTTTTAGAAATCAAATTTCTGCTGAAACTTTTGTTCCAGTTACATAAAGAAGTGACGGAGCCATTTTATAGGGCTCCAGTGCGCTCCAGCTAAAAAGACTTATTATTTATTTATCTTCATGACTAAGAAGTACTGGAACCGGCGCAATTTAAGCTCTAATGTTCATGTGATATTAATAAGGAAGAATTCTAAGAAAGAAGTGTTTCTAAGTTTTATTTCCGTTGTTGGTAGGGAAAACGCAACTGAACATGGAATTGAAATTTTGCAGTTTCCAAACTTTCCTCTGAATTGCTTTAAGTTATGCTAGTTTAAGAAGCGTTTTCTGATCATTCATGAATAAAATCATTTAAAATTGTTTAAAATCATTTAAGGAAGTATTTTTGCAAGCAGGAAAACAAACCAAATAATAATTTTTAGCCCAAAGGGCCTTAGCCCAGAAGGGCTATTAATTTCGTTTTGGCATTTTGCGTTGATTCACCACAAATGTCAGTTCACTTTTCAAATTGTTGCCACCAAATTTTATCATCCGGTGTTATATTCAAAGAAATTTAATAATGATGAAGAATCTGCCTAAATGTATGCATGTTTCTCGCATTGGGATAAAACAACGGTACCTAGAGCCATCAAATTTTGAATAACGTAATCTTCCACCGAATATGGGCATCTGAAAGCCCTAATTTGGAATTTGAAAGTTGTTTTATTATCGATTTCATATTTTGTATCACCACAACGAATTTTTGATTAACAAACACTGATTTCAAAGCGAGCAACGGTAAAACTGAACGAGAAGGGGGGGGGGAACATTTTTATCTCCGGAGCGTGAGATTGTGCATCGGAAATTCTAAAGATATGCTCATTTTAAATTTATTTTGCGATATTGCTGTTGAATTGAATTTTGTGGTCTAAGTGCAAAGAATATTTAATAAATAAAGGTAGCATACAAAAAGTTAAAAAAACGTCCCTTAAGGCGTAATGTAAATATCTGAAGGCTTTCAGATTTTATTTTATTTTTATTTTTAAGAATTAGACTCAAAATGTTTCTGCAAAAGTAAATTTTAATTTTTTTCTCAACTACATGTCGCTGTGTTGTTATTAGTATCTTTTAATAAGTATATGTTTGTATATTACGAGGGCGTTAAATTCAGGGGGGCTAGTCCGAGGGTAATTGGCTATTGTGTTACTGGAGTGCTTTCAGCAATTTAACACTATCGTGCTCTTCAGTTGTAAGTAAATTAAAGAAAAGTATCACAAGAAGAAAGACAGACTGACAAATGTTCAAGAACCTAACAGCCAATATCAAAGAATTTTATTGTGTCTTCTATTACAAAACAGAAAACAATGAAAAGAAACAGAGCAGGTGGTGCCATCTATGGATGAAACTTGGAATCAGAAATGCTTTATTTAAAGAAGGGTAGGAAAAACAAATTAAAATTCCCCTAACGTAGAGAGATTATATTTGTGGATATAGATAACTTCAAAGAAATTTAATTTTAAGTCTTTTGGTAACAGTCACTTTCTTTAGTTTTTATTGTTATTTTTGTTTTCCACTTCATTACAGAAAATGTCCCTCAGCTACTATAAAAAAACGTTTCCTACACTTCATCAATCTCTTTTTCTGTTTGTGGTATACTTGTTTTTCATTTATTTACAGCTAACGAAGACAGTGTTAAATCATTTCAAGCGCTTCTACAGAAAATAAAACCTACATCAATGAATATTATTTTTCTTATATTCAGGTTTATGTATCTTCCTTTCTCATGATTAAATTTAAAGCAAATTCGTTAAATAAAATTTAGGCTTACTGACTTGCTTTTCAGAGAAGAGGAAATCATATCAAATTCTATCAAAATGCATAATTCTAAAAATTTAAAAAAAATCTGAAAGGTTTCAGATTTTAAATTACTTCCAAAGGGGCTATTTTTTTTTTTTTTTTTTTTTTTTTTTTTTTTTTTTTTTTTTTTAACGTTTTTTGTGTGTTCCTTTATTTATTAAATATTAGTGCTATTATTTATTATGTAAAGGTCTGTGTTACCTTTATTTATTATATTTTATGGTTTAAGTGCATGTTATTTGCACTTAAAACATAAAATTCAGTTCAGTAGCAATGTCGCAAAATAATTTTAAAATGAGCATATCTTTAGAATTTCCGATACGCAGTTCCTCGCCCGCTGAAGATAAAAAGGCTTTTCTTTCCCGCCGTAGAGTATTGCCATTGCTCGTTTTTAAATCGTCGAGTTTGGTACTCAAAAATTCGTTAAAGTTTTACAAAATATGAAATCAATATTAAAACAAATTCCAAATTTCAAATTTGGTCTTCCACATGCCCATATTCGTAGGAGGATTACGTCATTCAAAATTCGACGGCTCTATGTACCGTTGTTTTATCACAATGCGAGAAATAGACATACATTTATGCAGATTTTTCATTATTTAATTTCTTCAAATATAATGCAGGACTCTAACATTTGGTGGCAACAGTTTGAAAAGTGAAACGGTCATTTACAGTGATTCAACGCAAAATCCCAAAACGAAAACGATAGTAGTCCCTTTGGAAGAAAGCCCCTTTGGACTAACAATAATTTAAAACTGAATTTCAGTTAATTTTAAAGATTTTTTTTACGTCCGTTATTAATAATTATTGCATGAATGTACATTCTGTTGATTTTGCCATTGTAAGGGCATTTTTAACATGTACTGAAAATCCATGTGACGCTGAACGACATCTTCACCTGAATGTGTTGAATTTTGCTATTCAATCAATAGTCAGGACTACTATTCCTTCTCATAGCATTTGGAAGCACCACTGGAGTCCTGAGTAGGAACAGGAAGTTTACTCAAAACTATGTTCGTGCGATTGTAGAAGTTACAGTACGAATGCCAAAGGGTTAACACTTTATTTCTAACAGCATACAGCCAATCCCGCACTTTGGGATACAAAGACCAGCATTTAAGTTCTGAAACGTAAAATATAAGAAGTAAAACTAACTTAATTAAGTAAGAACTAAACTCAGATACTTTACGAAGACAAATAACGCGAAGATTGGCCTTTTAACTCTACGTATGCAGTGAACAGAATGTGGGAAACTACAATACGTCTTCAGGTATCATAGAGGACTAAGTTCTAGCCTTAAAGACAGACAGGAAATGACTGAAAAGCACGCGCGTGGTAAGGCGACGGAAGTCTCTCTCTCTAACTCTCTCTTGGCTAAAAGCCATGTCTAAATATTAACAGTTTGCAAACATATTTGGATAAAAAAAAATTAACCGCGCTTATTCCGGCCAGAAACAGAAAATAAGAGAGGATGGCAAAGTTTAGTAAAACTTAAAAATCCTTTCACACTTACGGTAATGAATGTGTTTAAAAAATGGTATTGTATAAGAAAGATACCAAACAATATTTTCGATTGTGACATCAGAAATTTTCATGCAAAGTGTGTGCATTCACGTGTGAACGAAACTCCATTTATGAACTCATATGGTACTTATTTAAAATGCAATTTTTAAAAAATTATCGAAGAAATATTTTCTGTTCAGATGCCTTATCTTTATAATATTCTATTCAAATAGTTCAGTTCTAAATTTCAACTAATATCCAGATAAAATGTTACTGCATAAATAAATACGTACCTATTGTAAGAAGAGCTTTTTTTAAATACCCAGATGTTTCAGTCTCAATCGCTTCTGACAAAGTACGTCCAGTTATATCTTCGTATTCTTGAAATACAAATCTTAAGTGTTCATAGCTTTCATAAGCAAAGAGAGTGTTAAAAGCAGCTTCATCGGTTCCCCACTGAGCTTCTCCTGCTTCAAATAAGGCCTGGTCATCAAAAAAGAAAATTTAGTTCCTGATATTTCATAATGTTTTCCAATAAAGTAACATTTTATTGACTCATAGATATAAATTCTTTTGAATCTGCCAACTTAAATTTTTAAATGTTAAAATTAAATTCAACTTAAAATTTATTTTTATAGTAAGATATAAAATTTAAGTTACAAAATTTTTTAATTAAAGTTTCGATTAGAACTTTTTAAATTAAACTTAATTAAAATTTTTGAATGAGTCCCTTTCACAAGAAAAGTAAAATGGTTTCATTATGCATTTCAATTCATGGAGGAGTAACTAAAGGATTTCTGCAGAATCAAGAAGATATAATATAAAGAAGCAAAAGTTAATTACAATGGCTATTTTTATAGAAAATAAATAATAATGAATTCAATTACATTATTATTATGAATATAATATTTATACAAATAATTAATATATATATTATATTCATAAATAATAATATCAAAAACATCCCTATTTATGCACTAAATATCTTTTCAAGGAAAGTTAATAAACTAAACAGAAATTGCATGATAATTTATTTGAAAACGTAAAACTTTTTTTAGGGCAAAACTGTTTATAAATTTTATTCGGCGAGAAAATTGTGAACAATCAATTACGCCCTTACCAGTACTCGAACCATAGATATTGTTTTTGCTAGATGGATGTGCTACCACACACATCAAACGAGCATGCACCTGGGAATGCAGTAATTCTTTGCATTCTCTTTCATTTGAAGGAGACTGGGGAGAGACATGAGACCCAGCCGACTAAATCCATGTGGCGAGGAATTATCACTCAGAACATTTTAATTCAGGTATCCTTGTAGAGTCTGTTAAAATTTTAGGTGCAGACAGCATGAAAAACTAGCTGCACTTTGAAACACAGATCTTCGAATTGCTTAACGGATGTGCTATAAGAAGTACGTATATATGGGAGACTGCAATAAATCTCTAAAAATAACATCTCAATACATCTTTATTAAGCTTTGATTTGTGTAAGAAGTTACAAGAGATGATATAAATGAAATCTGGAAAATGGTAACTTCTTCAATATTTATAGATGCATCAAAGTCTCAGTTACCTAACATAACTGCCAAACTGCTGAATAAAAAGTAGGATTTTGCTTTAAATTTGGCACAGTATCAAAAGGGTCATAATTACAGCACTTTGAATTCCCTAGATAATTTTTCTTGTTATGCCTACAATTGTAAAATTTTTTCAACGAAAAATAAAGATAGAAACATTACGATATACAATGTACTGTACACAAATTCTGTAGTTAAAACGTTTATATTGTGACGGATATTAAAGTAACCGATAACATGCTATTCGGAAAATTCAAAAAGCTGTTTTGTGAGAAAGCTAGGTATTTTTACTGTCAAAGTTACTGTTCTGAGCAAAAGCAATATACACAATGTATTTAATTGAAACACTTAACAATGTTAGTAGTAATAATAACCATTCCTAAGCTGACTTAAATTTTCATTTTATTTTGGATGAAACAAGATGTTTGATAGTTAAAATAGGACACTTGGGAATTCTTGAATCACTTTTACTTCCTTGTACGAAGTAAAAAGGAAGTATTGTAATCGCGAAAAGTTTCAGGCAGCATATTTCAACGAAAATATCCATTTTGATCGCTATCGAATGCAATTTAACGATGTTTTTGCGTGATATCTGTACGTAAGGATAGAATAAAATACTCTTTTTCTCCAAAAAAACTGCTTTAAAATTAATTCTGAAGAGAATTTTTCGTGGCGTCTGTACGAACGTATGTACGTACGTGCGCACGTACGTACATATCTCGCATAACTCAAAAACGAGTAGCCTCAGAACGTTGAAATTTTGTATATAGGACTGCTAATAACGTGTAGATGTGCACATCGTATTTTGGTTGCAGCCGGCCGCCCCAAACGTATATAAATATATTTATATATAAATCCACTCTGTTACCCGGCTCAGTGATCAGTTTCTTTACTCTTATATGTTTGTTAATTGTTAAAAATGATTATATTTGAATTATGTTGTTCTTATCTTCCGGTTAAGGGTTTTATGCTTTAGGAAATCTGCAAGCAATATTTGTAGAATTATCAACAATTTAAGAGCTGTTTAAGTGTGGTTAACCGTAATATTTAAATAACATGGCGGACATGTTTGTTTACATTTGAAAGAGCAGAATAGTAGATTTGTTGCCAATCTAGACAAACTTAGCTTCGCAACAACAAAGATAACGCCTTCATTTATTATTTAAATCATGCTTAATCCTTTCTGGAATTTTTTCGAGGAAATAAGTGTTTAGGATTTACTTCGTAATTTTTAATATAGATATTTTGAGTTTTTATGTATTTTTACGTTCTCGCGAAGTGAGAACTGAATTAATTGAATGAGAAATACTCAATCGTCTGTGAAAACTGTTTCTTTTTTGTTTTGTTCACTTAATTTCTTTTATACATCGTTCTAGATGTATTGTAGTATTTAAATAGAACATATGGCTACGATTACATAATTTTTCAAATGATATAGATTTTGTGAATTCTGAGGACGAAACATAAAATCTGAAATCTTTCAATTTTTTTTTTCAATTTTAATTATATTTTTTACGAATTGTTCGAAAATTGAAAATAAACTTCATGCTTAAATTTTTGAATGTTAATTTTTATTTTTCTAATTAGTTTTACGAAAAATAATGTTTTGAGATTTTGATACCTTAATAAATTAATTTACTAGAAGTGTTATTTAATTTATTTTTGAAGGCGGAGAATTAAAAGTAGAACAGTTTGTGTGAAGCAAAACTTTTCACTAATTATTAATACAGACAAAAATTTATTCGTGACATATATCTTACCTCGGCATCATTCCGAACTTTATCCAGTGACACAATTCCTTCATTTCTTTCAGCCTAGAAAAACGACATGACATTTACATCGTAATGCAAAACTAAGCAAACCGGAGAGAAAGAGAGATAATTATTAGCAAAAGGTTACAGCATAGCTTTACCTTACATATAAGTAAAAGCATGTGCTTAAAAGGAGTCACACAGTCATTCTGTATAGAATCTTCTAAAGTTTTTCCATATTCTAAATAAAACACAAACTAGTTAGTTAAAATAATTTTATACGCAATTGTTTTAAATTCAAAATAACTGCTATATTAAAAATTCAGTAGTGAAGCGTATAGCCTGAAAATAATTGCTTGGTTAAGTTAATTAAAAAAATTTCTTAGACGTTTACAGTAAATAAAATTATTAAATTAATAATAGTTATACTTTTCTATTAAAGGGGAGTCAGTTTCCAAATATGCGACGAAGTACGAAATGAAGTAGCCTGCTTATATCGCAGCACATGATAATATATATAAATATTTAATGTGCGCAAGGCTGAATTTGGTCGATTCTTTGTTGTTTAAGAAAACCAGTTTACGTAGAACAACAGTTCATTCTCCCCACGTAGAACAGGGAGAACAACAGTTTCATTCTCCCCACGTACAAGGCGGCATGTTTTAGCTTAAAAAACATCAGATAATTGCACAAATTCGGCATCGCGTAGTCTTCACATTGCACACATTTGACATCATAAGTACATGCATATTGTTGCATACATACATATGCATTGTATATTGCATCTATACATGTATATTGGTTCGTGGATTTTGAGTAATTGATCACAACACTTGATGAAGAATCAAGCACAATTTATTCCCCAGTAAGCACTATTACGCAGGACAGCTCGCAAACTATGTTCACACTCGTCGAAAAACTACGACAAACACGTTGAAACAATCAGCAACACAGCCTTCAGACTATAACGGTGAAGGCAGCTTCACAGCAAAGCTCTAAAGCACAACTTTCAACTCGGTCTGTCGCTCTTAAGCTAATCTCTGAACACAAGACACACTGATTTCTGAACTCAAGACACTACTACTGAACTCAAGATACTACTACTATACGGACAGGCAGAGTATATACATATACTACACTCATGTCCATAAATTAAGGATAATTCGGAGTCACGCGGAAATCGAACTCTAAAATAAATATATCACCTGTAAAATCACTACACACATCTTCAAGAATCATATACAAATTTCAGGAAGTAACCAGATGACACCGATGGTACGTCACAATGACGAGAGTGTAAGAGAGTGATATATAAGGAATATAGGCAAAGAAGTAAAATTGTTCGCAGGCGCTTTATAAGCATTTCAGTGCAAACACCGAATAGTTATGACACAAAGGACGCATTTGGATAATTTTCTACGTGGTAGAATTATCGGCCGTCTGGTATGTCGGCGTACCAAGCTGAAAGTATCAGACGAACTTGGAATTGCCCAGAGTGTCATATACAGGCTTTGGCAACGATTCCAAGATCATGGTAATGTGAGTAGACGTTACAGCATAGGTCGCCGCAGAGTTACAACGCCGAATGAGGACCGGTATTTGGCAGTTACTGCCAAAAGAAACAGGCGAAGCACAGCCTCAGACCTGTCTCGTCAACTCTCTTCAGCCACAAGGTACGACAATTTCAAGGCAGATTGTGTACAGACGCTTAGGGCAGATTGGTCTATATGCTCGTAGACCTGTCAGATGCGTTCCACTTATTGCAACTCACTGTCACCTGCGGTTAGCCTGGAGTAGAGAGCATGCATTGTGGACACCGCAACAGTGGGCTTGTGTGATGTTTTTCGACGAGTCCAGGTTTAGCTTGCAGTATGATTCTCGCCGGGCTTTCATATGGAGAGCTCCAGGTACCCGTTACCACCAAGAAAACATCATTGAACGACACCGTTACGGTGGTGCAGGAGTGCTCGTTTAGGGTGGAATTATTCTGGGTTTCCAGAACTGACCTGCATGTTCAAATTGGAACCATGACAAGCCAAATCTATCGGGACGTCATTCTGGAACAACATGTACGTTTGTTTAGGGGCGCCATGGACGCACAATTTGTGTTTATGGATGACAACGCCCGTCCTCACCGTGCAAACATCGTAAGCGAATGCCTTCAATCGGAGGATATCACCCGTATGGACTGGCCAGCATTCTCACCGGACTTGAATCCAGTAGAGCACGTGTGGGACATGCTTGGCCGACGAGTTGCAGCCCGTCAACCTCCTCCTACATGTCTACCGGAACTTCGGAGAGCATTGCTTTTTGAGTGGTGTAATATTCCCAAAGATCAGATCGATAATTTGATACTCAGCTTGTTTAGGCGTTGTATGGACTGTATTGCATCGTCTGGGAGACATACAATGTATTAAAAATCATACCAACCATGTAATATTGGTTTTTTGTAAATAGGTTTTTTTTTTTGTAATTTGCTCCAGGGAGAAAAAATCGCTAATTTTTTTAATAATATCAAACATATAGGATCTTTTTTTGCTCTTTACCTTTTGTTTAATAAATAAGCTTTACAAATAAGTCAAATTTGTTTTGCTTCTAACACTTCCTTTGCCTGATTTTGCATTATCCTTAATTTATGGACATGAGTGTATATATAGCTTTAACCTACCTTCGAGAAGACCCGAGAAGACCTCTAAGAATGCGTTCTAGAATATTCTCGCTCCGTCTATGTCATATCGCCAATTTTGTCTTCCAAAATCGCCAAATCTGGCAAACCTGCATTTACTTGCCACTTTCTGGTAACCCTAAACCCGCTTTGCGGGAATGCTATCTAATCGCAGTTGGCATTTTGCAACAATATATATAATTTATATTGAACTGCTTTTTACTTTGCATTTCAATTAAAAAAAAATTCAGCAAAAAAATATTTTAGTTAACTTGATATTTAACACTACAGCTTATCCCATTCGCTGAACTGAAGCGAATTAATACTTCCCTTGAACTGAAATTATCGGCTTTTCAAGATTCCTAATCCAGCTAATTCAATATTTTTTCCTTTTTTAAATTATTCTTTTTTTTTACTACTACATATTTTATGGTACAAAAAAAGTGTTCTAATTATTTTTATTCAGTTCAATCAGTTTAAAACTTGTAGTTCACCTATATTTCATTACTTAATACTTTTTAAGCTTTGCTGCTATACTAGAGAATATGTTTTTTCATATCAAAACTTCTGTTGCTCCTGTGTTACAGATTTTAACAATTATCTCATCTCTTTTTATTTTAGATCAAATTTTCATTTATATTTTCGTATTTCTTTTTATATGTTGGATTATTTTCGTTTTATATATTTTTGGACTCGGTCCAACTCAAGCTATAAATTATTATTAGATTTTTAAGCTTTATTTCTTGTTTATGATTTATACAATTATTTTTCTAACCCGGTCCGTATGTTTTCAAAATTTGTATATAGTTTGTTTTCCCTAGAATTGGAATAAAAGATTTGCATATGGTGTTGTTTTCCAAGTATTGATTTTGTATTTTTGCAAGTTCTTTTTCTCTTTTTGGGATCTTGATCTACTCAAAATGAGTTTTAATCCAAAGGGGCTTTGTTCCTGAAGGATTTTCGTTTTGCGATTTTGGGTTGAATCACTATAAACGGCGAATCACTTTTCAAACTGTTGCCACTGAATGTTAAGAGTCCTGCATTATATTTGAAGAAATTAAATAATGAAAAAATCTGCATAAATCTATGTATATTTTTCTCATTGAGATAAAACAACGGTACATAGAGCCATCAAATTTTGAATGACGTAATCCTCCTACGAATATGGGCATGTGGAAGACCAAATTTGAAATCTGGAATTTGTTTTATGATCGATTTCATATTTTGTAAAACTTTAATGAATTTCTGAGTAACAAACTCAACGATTTAAAAACTAGCAATGGCAACACTCTACGGGGAAGGGGGAACCTTTTTATTTCATTTTAAAATTATTTTGCGACATTGCTATTGAACTCAATTTTATGGTTTAAGTACAAAGAACGTGATATTTAATAAATAAAGGTAACACACAAAACGTTAAAAAACACCCTTTTGGACGTAATTTAAAATCTGAAACCTTTCAGAATTTTTTTTTTTTTTTTAATTTATCTGTTCTTTTGAAATTTTCTGCAAAATTATAGCCTACTACGACCTGTAGGAGTTGGACTGATAGAAACACTAATTACTTTTATTGTTTTTTATAGTAAATAAATTATATATATATATATATATATATATATATATATATATATATAATTTGAAGTTAAGTAGTGAGAACGAATGAAAAAAGATCTATGTTTGTGGTCAAAAATTTTGCGCATTGTGCTGCAAAATTACGGAAATTAGAAGATAAATTTTAGTACGCACGCTAAAAAGTTACCAAAAACTGTGGCTCCGTGAAAACTTCAACATAAGCTTATTTAGTTGCTGTGAAATGTGTGAAAAAGGAGAAATATACAACATTTGAATATTTACAAGTAAAATTAATAAAAATAGTAAGCTATATGCTAAACGAATTAAGTAGATTTAAAACACAGTAAAATACTACTCAATTGATCGACGTAAAAATAAAAATAATAAATAATAATTAAAATTAAGAAACGCTAAATGGTTAATTAGCCCAATTCGAAGTTCATTTTGGCTTGTCAAGGGAAATTTTTTAAAATGAATTCGAACTAAGCTAACTCCATCGCGCGTTTCGCCGAAACAGACAATTGAAACTGTACGCGACAAATTTTTTAACGAATTAAATAAACTATGTCAAACATTTAGTCTAAATTCTCTGTTCCAATTTCCCGACGCGTCCGCTTATTTTGACACATTATATATATATATATATATATAATTTACTATTAGAAAATTAGAAAAGGTTTTTCATATATCCCCTTCCCCCCAAAAAAAAATTAATTAAAGCTATGAATTATTAGAAACAAGAATATAATTTTCTAAAAATGTTTGTATTTTTTTTTTTTAATCTTCGGTTATTATCCAGTTTCGGTCTAAATTTAATACTAGTTTCTCATGGTTTTCAAATTAAATCAGTTTAATTTTTTAAAAAATTTTTTCTCTGAATAGTTTGTTTTATAATTTTAATTTTATTTTATTGAGACATTAGATTACTTTTAAAGCTGGAGAAATAAAAATGAGCAATACCCTCGCCGAGACTCGAACCACGGACCTCTCGACTACGCGCCGAG